ATATCAGCCATTTTGTGGTGGGATCTGTCTGTTGAGGTCAAGCCGGGATGCCCCTGCTGTGCTGTGCAAAAGCTGGGGCCAAGTTGGCCGCTGTTCAGGGGCAACAAGAGGCAGGCATCAAAAGGACGATAACCTGTTGGCACAGTCCAACAGTGCTCCAGCTAGAACCAGCCCAGTGGGTGTCCTGTCACTCTGCCTTCAACAGGGAGTGGCCTGGGTTGACCACGTTTGGCCACCACAGTTGGGAGAGGTGGGCTGTGTGGCATGTGGGCAAACGAGCTGCAAGGATGCAGTCGCCCACGTGCCAGGCTGGGACTGGTGTCATCCCTGCAGTGAGCGTGGGCCGCTGAGATCTGGCACAGCTCATTGCTGCCCTCCTCTTGAGTAAAGCACAAAGGCTTCAGCACCTGGGAGAACAGGACCCATTGGCATGGGCAGTCCTTGAGATGCTTCAGCACAACCCAGGAGTTCTCACTGGATACTTGGGTCAGCACAGCCTGGGGACCTCAGCGTGCCCACACTGCCAGGCCTCCACTGCACTGCTCCCTGTCTTTTGGGACCATTGATGGAGGACATTTAATATTAGTTCTGATATTTCTGTTAAAAAAAAAAGAGTGCGGAACTGTGAGATGGATAGATATGGATGGTGGTTGTTTCTCTCTTTTGTGTTTTTAGTGGAGAACCAAGGAAAGTGTTTGTGTAGTTTGGCCAGATTTTAAGGAAAACTCCCATTGCTGTTATTTAAGCCAGAAGAGCCCCAGCTGAAGGCTGTCCTTGGGACAGGCTCTGAGCTCAAAGCAGCAATCTAAGCTTTGTGTCTCCTGGGGTTTACATTCCCATTTTTGTTAGGTGTAGCCAAGAGATCCCTTTGATTTCTCCTTTTTTTTTTTTTTCCTCCTCAGGGCTTTCCAAATGCCACAGGGAAATCCTCCTAGCCAAAGTGTTTTTGTAACTATTTCAGCTTTGGGACGATTTATTTCTTCTTCTAGCTCTCAGTATCTGAATTGGGTGATCTGAGAAAACAGTCCATTTAAAGGAGGATACTGTAGAGTCCTGATGAATCCTGTTTTCTACTTGGCCGGGGGAACAGAAAGCTAATTGCCAGTAGTAAATCCATTCAAAGGAGGGCTGGAGGGAAGCAGAAAAGCTAATATTCCTCCTTGAATGCCATTTAATCTCTGAAACCTTTCATGCAGATGTAAATTAGGATTTTCACAACAGAGTCAACAGTTGCTTGGTAGATAAGGCAGATTTGCAACATCTGCTTTTCCATTCTAGAAGCTCTTCCAGAGTCTCTGCTGAGATAGCCAAGCTAAACACTAGAGATTTTTTTTTTCTTTCCATAATCTCTTGTTTATGAAGAAAGCTGCATATGACAGAACTAAACCTGGTTATTGTTCTGCTAATTTTCTAGGAAAAGAGTTGGTTTTTTTCCTAACACAGACCTTAAAAAACCCAACTGAGTGGTAATACAGTGCAGCACACTTGAATAACTTTGGAAGATATGTTATCTGGTACCAACTGCATAGGCCACTGTGATGCTAATACAGTATAAACAGTTTACTTTGCATTATTATTAGGAAAGCAGTTTTAAGCTTTTCCAGGAGAGCTACACACCCCCCCCTCCAAGCAAACACACGCAATAGGTGAAAGATAAAATGGTACCTTCGAATGGTGAAGGCAAACCCTTTCCAGACATGGCTTCCTAAAGGCATGTTTCTTGATAATGGTTTAGACTTCTACAGAAGCAACCAGGTGTTTTTTTTGTTTTTCCTGAGGTGTGAGCCCCATTTTGCAGGGGAGATAACCCAGCTGAACACTGCTTGAGGAAATGATGTAGATTTGGCAAAGCATCCTGTGCTGTGCTGCTGAGATTGCCACAACGACCCCCTTCTTCCCAGGATGGCTGCAGTCTGACCCTGGAAAGTGTGCTCTGGTAGGGGTCTTGACCTTGGAGGGGGAGAAAAGAGGGGAAGAGCAAGGGCACGAGGTGTATTTTTTAATAATATTTTTTATTCTTTCTCTATAGCATATACATAAAATACGACACATAATATCCCGTATGTATTTTATACGTTACATTTTGCTGTGCCAGGCGGGTGATGTGCCTTTTGGGGTGGCAGGGCCATGGTCAGGCAGGGAACTTCTGCCACTGCCACCATCATGGCTGCCGCAGAAAGGAGAGGAAGCTTTACCTTCCATATAACAGAGCCAAAAATACTTCTATAAAAAAAACTCCATCGTCTCCTCACAGTGCAGTGAGGGGACACAGTGACTGTAGGTGACCTCGCTTTGCTGGGGCGCTGCTCCATCGATATTATCTGCCCTGAGAAGCAGGTTCTTGGGTAAACAGGAGATCCCATGATCTTACCATGGCCACCTCTCGTGAGGGGCTGCTACTTGGTTCAGGCTTTGGAGCTGGTTTGATGATTTTCAATATTCCCTCAGGGCTTGCCTGCCTCTCTGGAGAGATTGAGGGAATGGGGAGGGGAAAGGGTGCTCATTGGCGGTGGCAGTGAGGCCACTTGTCACCCCTCCTGTCTGCTTTTTAAATTAAGGCACGTCCCAAATGAACAGCATTCAGTAAGAACAGCATTTTATTCCCCTTTTGGTCAATGGGATTTGCTGTTTGCAGTGCAGAAGTCCCAAGGTGAGGTGGGGAAGTGACCCTGACCCACAAGCAGCCATGCAGGTATTAGGGAAAAAAGCTTTTGGGAGGATGAATAATACTGTGGACCCCTATTAACACAGGTGGGACACATAATAAACCAGGGCTAAGCACACAGAGAGGGCACAGTACTGGTCTGAGCCTGGAGATAGTCTGCCTGCTTTTGCCATCATGTCCTTTTTCAGCCCACCAATGCTGGAGGTTTCCATGTTCCTGCAGCAGCTGGCCACCAACTCGGTGACTGTGACCATGATTCCCCCTGGGAATGGGATACCAAACTCAACAGTAGAAGGCTCTGGCATGGTTGTTGCTCTGTAATATACCCTGTCACAGTTCATTTGGTGCAATAAAATACATAGAACAAAAAACCTTTGCAAATTAACCCACAGAGAATGGTGTGTGGAGTACTGCTATCTTTCTGCTGGTTAACATGCCACATATGGCTTGTCCAGCTTGAAAAGGGGAAATTATGATCCACATAGGAATGAGCTTCTTAGTCCTTTCCTCTACCAGGATGTGAAGGAAACCTGAAGAGCCTCTCTGAGATTGCCAGGATTAACCTGCAAATAGTCACTGACCCTGAGGAGGACACCAGCCAGGCTCTAAGTTGGCTTGGATGTTTTTTGAGGGGCCATAAGCATCTCAGGAATACCCTACCACCCTCCATCTCCTTGTCTCCTTGCTTGAAAAATAAGTAACTGCATATCATTCTACAGTTCTTGAGAGCTGCCTGCATTAAAACCAAAATAAAACATTTCCAGGCTCAGGCAGAAACAAGGATTGATGTCTTAGAGGCGCAGACATCTGATGGAAATACTGACACATTAAGTTAAGCGCTTGGAGCTGCGAGCCACACAGAAAGTGAGTTATTGTTGGGATGAGCCAAGCAGCTACGGAGATGAAGTGTCTTATCCTTATAAGTGAATACATGCAAAAGCATTTTAGCATTGCTGGGCCAGCTGCTTCTCATTGTGGAAGGTGCTTCCCAGCGAGTTGCTGCCTTTTTGCTCCTCTGAACAGCTTAAAAATTGTCTCTTTCTCCATAGCATGTTTGCTGTGAGCAGCAGTGATGAGGCTGCAAGTCCTGATCTGTATCAAAAGCATCTCTTGGTGATTCTCAGCTCATTACTGCTTTGGCTATACTAATAAATGGTTGAATTTTAGTCCTGTCTTGGGAGCCAACAACCTAGATTGTCTCCTCTCTAAGAACCCATTAAAGCTGCACGTGTATTAATCCCTGCTCTGATGGCAAGTCTCAGAGAGGGCTCCTGTAGCCCCTGCGTGAGTTAACTCCCCAGTAATTTATACCTGTATCCACTGTGGATTTTGAAAAGATGCTGTTAATATCAGATCCCAAATGGGAGTTTCCCTGGTGAGCATGGGGACCTTGGCAACCTGCCTTGCAATAGAAACCCATTACAGAAGCTTTAAAGGACTCATGGGATTATCTATGCCAGCAGCAAGGATAGTTTTCTTGGGAGCCAGGACTGACACCCAGCAGATGTGTTTTCTGCCCCAGTAGACCCAAAAACCTGCCTCCCCCAGTGTTGCTTTGCAGTGGAAAGCAACTGCCTGCTTCAGTGGAAGAAGCAGCCATGTTGGGACAGTGCAGCACCTGCTGCCCTGTACTGGTTCCCTTCTGATTTAGCAATGGGAGAGGCAGGATGAAGTGGCCAAACCCTCGTCCGGGTCCCCAGGAGGGCTCAGCCTATCTGTGTGAAACCCCTCCCAACCACAGGCTGCACACACAGCCCCTGCCACTTCGTTCACACCACATGGTTGGAAGTGCAGACTTCTGCAAGTCAGTCTGATGGCTGGATGCTTGGCCTCAGAGGTGGCAACTTCCATGTCTTCTTCATGTCTTGGTGTCTCCTATTGAGAAGGTATCAGATGCACCAGACACTTGCAGCTGGAAGGCAGGAAGGAGGTGCTGGGCTTTGGGCACCCAGTGGGAGACATGAGCTCTGGTTCCCCACCTTAAACACTGGCTCTTCTGAGCATGGAAATGAGACTGTCTCTGCTTTCAGGTTTATCATCATATTTGAAAGCTATTTGAGGAATAATAAGAGTAAAATTTCATTCTCCAAGGTCACAGTTGGGGAAAGTGCTTAAGCACTTAAGTGCACATTTAAGTACTTTGTGGATGTCTTCAGTTTGGGTCCTTTTTATTTTTTTTAAGCCATAAGCACATAAACTGAAATTTGAAAAACTGTTCGAAGAAGTGAGATTGCAACCATTAGTAATGTTCTCCTTTTAATCACCACTCCATCTGTCAGGATACTACTCCCAGTCAGTAGGGGTACAATCGTTAGGACTGAACATTGCATTTAAGAGGCATCACAGTATCTCATGGAGACTGACTGAGAAGTTTGAGGGCAGAGATGCGAAACTAAAGTTATCAGAAACAAAGGATGATGCTTTGTTCAACAGTTCAGACCCCAGTCATTCTTCTCTGAGTCTAAACTGAATTTTCTCTTCATTTCAGCATTCCTTAATTATGTTTTATAAAAACATTTTGTCACTTTATTTGTTAACTCAGGTTCAAAAAAGAGTGATTTCCTTCTAAATGGCTAAACAGTACAGTTTGTCTTGTGCTTAGTCTGGACTTGTTCCTGTTTGGTAGGTTTATGATACAAAAGCCAAAATATACAAGTCTTGATCATTTGGCAAACAGCTTGGGTAAAATTGTGTATTTTGTGTGGAGGGACTGTGCAGCTGCATGGCATTTGTTTTCCAGTAGATTAAATTAGCAAGATCTTCCATCAGAGTCAGCAAACAAAGACCAGTGCCCAGTCCTGCAAGTGCAAGGCTGTATACAGGCTTTTTAACTGGAAGGCAAAGTTGGTGCCATTGAAAAAGTCCTTATACTATAGGAGAAGGAAGAAAACAACCTGAAAGGAACAGTTAAACCAGACTATTTCTCAACCATATTTTCCCCGAGGATATATTCCAGCTGGGAGGAGACGGTGGGCGAGCATTCAATGTCACAACAGGTGCTGGTCTCATCGGTTGGCAAGGCTGGAATCCTGTCTTCTTTTCCTTTTCACTGCAAGTATATGCTTTCAGGGAAAATCTTTTCATTAAAAGAAAGAAAAAAAAAAAACCAACCCAACACCCTAAACCTTTGACTGTATGAATACCACAGAATTCTGGCCAAAACCTGAAATATTTCAGTTGGAATTGCTGCCAGATTATCAGAGGAAAAGTTCTTTGTAACCCAAATGACTGTGGGTTTTGCCTCCTGTGAGACAACACCTCCCCTGAAACACCACATTTTCAGGCCCCCAAGATTCTATATTTATAACTTGCAAGGCCATTAACTGGAACATTTATATTTTTAATTTTTACATTTTCCACAGCAGAAGGGCAGAAGAGCAGCTTGAAGCCCATGCCACATCCTCAGGTATTCAGAGCTGCTGTAATCGCATTGGTTTCACAGTCAAATGGTAATCTATGAATTAATTATGCTTAAGCTGCAAAATTAGGATCTCTCTTCATATCTGATTACTATCAGAGATCAGCTCAGGCCACTGGGGTTGGAATCATAGGGTTGGGTTCAGACTAATCTGTTTTGAATTACTTTTTACTTGCTAATTACGTAATCATAGCATCAAAGTGTCTTTGTCGTGGAATGGGATCCCCCGTAATACATATTGTACAAAACCAAGAAGACTCTTAAGCCTGGTGCAGTGAACAGCCTCAGAGCCTGTGTAAGCCAGAAGACAGAGACAGGGCAAAGCCAACTGAAAATGTTGGCTAGCGTAGACAAGGTGGGGAGAATGACAGTCTTCTTGTTGATGTAGCTGGGTTAAGGGTAGCTGTAGAGGGCTGATTCTTCTCTGCTAAACTGCTGAAAAGGATGAATAAGCCATTCAATGTCGAGTGAATTTATGTGTCACTAAAATGAGCCTGAGGACCATCAGACTCAAGAACCATGCTTTCAACATGCCCCATTTTCCTCTGTGGAGAGGCTTCTGAGCTTGACCCTTTCCTTGTGTCATTATCCTGTAGTGAAACAAAATTCTCCAGCCCGTGGTGTAGGGTTCACTGTCATCACCTGTGGAACAAACTGCCACAGCTGATAGACTGAAGAAACAGGGATTTCAGCTTTCATGCTCAGTCTTTGGTTCTGCACTTCTTTGTTGCACAGAAAGTAACTCCATCAGGGAGCTGGTAGTGTGTTCATTTATTTCGGCTGTTCCAGACTCTGTGTTCTGTCCAGCCTTCCTCCCTGTTTCCTTCAGCCTGGAGAGGTTGCCCCTGGGCCATCTAGAGTCACTTGAGAAATTTGGTTTATCCCCATTTCTGCTCCTTGCATCCCCTTCTTGCTTGATCTCACAGAGGTTGTGGACAGACTCACAGGAATAAAGAAATGGAGATCCGGAGACGGAACTGGGAACTTCTCAGCACACATTTATTTCTGCCCGATCACACCCCCCTCAACATGGGGTGTTGCAGCGACCTTACGTAGAGCTCCGTGCTGTTTGTTGTGATGCAGCTGATGGAGTGGCTGTGTTTTGGTTGTTAGCCATCCCTGTAGATCAGCGAGTGACCTGCCTGTAGTGTACACAGCTGTCTTTCTGCCTTGCTACCTGCCTGGGGCAGGCAAGGCTTACCTCTGGCCAGGAGGAGCTCTGGCCACGTGGAAGCATCAGTAGGGCAAATATAACATGCTCCCTTTTCAAATACTCTTTCGTTCTCCAGCACCTGCTTTTATTTATTAATTTCCCTTTGCTTCTCCTTTTGCAGAATACTTGAGGAGCGAGACCGCCTTTCTGGAAGAGTTGGTGTTTGGAAGTGGAGATACCATTGAACTTTCCTGTAACACCCAAGGCTCTTCTGTGTCTGTTTTCTGGTTTAAAGATGGTATCGGGATTGCACCTACCAACAGAACTCATATTGGGCAAAAACTGTTGAAGATAATCAATGTGTCATATGATGACTCGGGGCTGTACAGTTGCAAGCCAAGGCATTCCAACGAGGTCCTGGGAAACTTTACAGTCAGAGTTACAGGTACGTGCAGAAATACAGCTGTCTTGGGGATATACTTTTATTATTTCTTTATTTTATTTTTTACCCCTTCACACACCAGCACAGCTGGTGCTTTGCAGTGTTTGTGCTTGGTAGGTCTCTTACCTCCCTGATAACTCCTGGCAGCAATTAGAGTGATGAAACAAACCAGTCAAAGATTGCTTGTGTGTCCATACCAAATGTTAAAGCTTGATGCTAATACTGAGAGAGACTCAGAAATGGTGCTAGTCAGATTAAACCCCAAATCCCCCTTAACACTCAAACAGATGCAATGCTGCATGTGCCTTTGAAGTCTTTTCTGAGTGAGTGAACTGTGGCTCAGGGAGGTTAAGTGACTTCTTCCACTTTATGGGACAAATCTGTGTCAAAACTGCATGGAAAAGCTGGAGATTCCTGAAAATTGTTTCCCTGTTGTAGCTGATAAATACTTTCCCTCCATCCTGGTTATCACAAATTACTAGTTTGTTTCAGAAGTGGCTTATCTGTAAAACGTGCATATCTCAAATAAGTGCTTCATCAAAGGTGCTTATTTGGATTCATGTATTGTAAACAAGTGCTGTGTTAGCAAAGCATATGCTGTCATTTGCTTGGCTGTATTTTCTGTGGTTAGGAGAGTAGGACAGAAGAGCTATAAGCTGTCCAAGCTTGGATCACTAAACAGAAAGTGCCAGAAAAATCGGTGGTTCCCAGATAGCTAGCCACTAACACTAAGGTCATCTCCATGATTTCAGGCCGCTGTGTTGGTAGATGGATACTCATCACTGTAAGAAGACAGAAAGCCTACTGAACACACCGGTTAAAAGCCTGAATTTTCAGAAGAATTAAGCCCTTTTGGATTTAAAGTTTTGAAAGCTTTCCTTTGCCCTTACACTGCTGGAGCTTTTTCAAGCATCCCTGAACTGTAGGTCATTGCCTCCAAAAGTTGAGTTCCCTCAAAAAGTAAGGGGCTCTGTCTGAAAACCAAACACAGAGATGTTTGTGATTGTAAATCACATCCAGTCCATAAAGGGCTTTCTCGTGCCAGAAATAGGATTTTGTGTAAGTGAGAGAATCAAACCATCATGAGAATAAAAGCTCGTTTCAACAAGCCTTCACCAACATCTGCTTTTCATTGAACATTACTGGAGATTGCTGTGAATGCTTCAAGGTCATATCAATTAAATGGTTAAAGAAGTATTTGGCCCTTGAAAGGCTTTCTTTAACTAGGTACGATTATTTGAGCTATCCAAGGAACTGCAGGTTGTTAGAAATGTTACTGTCTTTTTTTTTTTTAAGTGACATTAAAATGCTTTTGAGTTCAAGGGGCAGCAGGGAGGCATAAGAGGGCAGCTGGTTACATGCTCAAATGAAACAGCTGCCAGCCCCAAAAGTTTGTAAAGTGAGAAATTGTTTTCAATAGTGGAAGGGCTGATAATCCTCTGCTTTTAAAAAGTTTAAGCCCCTGTGTTTTTCCTCTTTGCTAATAATAGCTAATAACAGCTTAAGAACAAGCGAGTAACCTGAACCTGCTTTCTGACAGCATTATGAGTCTTTGATTCTATTAGCCCACTGTCATTACCACCAAAGTGCTGGTAATGTGGGAGTCTCCATTTTAGCTGTCAGCAGCACTTGGTTTAAACTTTGAAGCCCTGCTTCATGTGGCAATAGAGGCGCCTCTCCTAGGCTCAGATATTTCTTCCTAATTCGTATTGATCGCTCGGCGTGGCACTGGGGAGATGAGATTGTTATCAGAGATTTGTGGTTTGTGTTCCCACTTCTTCAAGGTAACGCCAGCGATTAGCTCCATGTCTGGTCGGGTGTTCCTGTGAATACCTGATGTTCAGGGCTGGAGTTGTTCTCTGCATTAAATGGGTTTAAGTCTGTACTAACAGACTGTGATTGCTCTGGTCTGTATTCCTAAGTGAGCCAAACTAGGCTAAGGTGTATTCAGAATAGCTGCTAAACACCTAAGTCCCATTTTGAGAGCCGCTTCCAAATTCTAGCAGCACATCAGGATTTTCCTACCTGGGGCCATGAGTTTTGAGTCCACAGCAAATTACCTCTTCTGCAGCGAATTTCAGTGTGCACAGTGGATTGCTTGCTGCTGAAGGTAGAGTAAGCAGATGCTGGAGCTGGGATTTCAGGGTTGAAAATCAGGTTGGTTAGTAGCAGGGTTTGAGCTCTTTAAAATGCCTCCTTTGACAGACATGGACTGGAGTGTTTGGCTAGTTTACAAAAAGAAATGTACTGTCCTCTTAAAAATGGAGGACTTGAAGAGGAGCACAAATAGAAGCTGCATGCCTGAACTGATCTCCCGCCCTGCTGGCAGAAGCTCTGTTTCTGCAGCCATTTCACACACAGAACAGCCTTTGGATTTAGTGGCCAAGCAGCACTCACCCCTGTGATGAGCACAAACTGCAGGCAACAAAACCCAACCCAGTCCAGCAGCGAAAAGAGCTTTCACAATGACCAAGACTAAGCTTTTCAAAACAGGTGACTACAAACATTAAGCCCCTTTATGTTCATTATTAAAGTCCTTTTGAGAACAGCACCTATCAGTTCTCATGGTGCCAGTACTCATCAAGGGTGACTCTTTTAGCAGATGATTAACAAATAGCTTACCAAGTTTTAGTCACCTTTTGAAAAGGGTGTTGTTTTAGTAACCTGAATAGGACAGTAGCTCTGAGCATGGGATATTTGGTCTTAAAACCTGAGCTGCATCTCTCATCATCTCACTACAAACAAGGGCAAAGACTCTTCCTCAATCTTGTGGAAATGTTTCTGCATTGGTTTAAAAAATGATTCTGCTCCTCTGGTCACAATTGGTTCATTGTAAGTGAAAAGTAAACTATAATCAGATGTTAATATATGAGTAACCAAATCTGAGAGTGCAGGGCTGAGAATGTGCTGGTGGGGATTTGGCTCAGTTTCTGTCTTTGCCAGGACTTGAGTAAACCTGCTGGTTCAGCCAAAACACCTAAACATCCACTTCATTTCAGCAAACCCTGTGGCATTTCCCTAGTTTTGCTGCCAGCAGGACCTCAACTGTGGATTTGCAGTTATATATGTGCCTGAAGTCTTCCTTGAGACTGCTGAAGAGAGGTGCAAAGCCTGATGTTCCGTTGCAGTCTAAAGGAGAGAGATGATTCATGTGTTATTTGCTTCTGTAGGTGTTGACTATGTCAGGAAAGTCCTTACAGATTCTGCAGGGGACTAATATTTTTGTTCCTTCCCCCTCTTTTCTTGTTTTCTTGCTTGCTTTCTCTCTTTCTCTCTGAATGGCAGAAAATTCGAGTGAATCTGGAAATGAAGGAGATTCTGCCTGGCTTGGTCTAAAGTAGTGCTTTACATTTCTGGCCACATGTTCCATGCTTGTGAAATTTTTTATTTTCTCAAGTTTTACCACTCTCTCAGAATATAAAGGCTGCTGGGTTGTTAGCATTTTGCCTTCATTAAAAGAAAACTTAATTTCTAGAGATTATATGAAGTCAGTAATGCTAAATCTCCAGACACAGAATGGTACTAAATCTTGTATAACTAAATCAAACACTAAGCTGCTATTTTTTAATGAGATTTACATTTACAGTAGTCATTTGGTGGGGGGAAGAGGGACTGGGACTTCATTTTGGGCAGCCTGGAGAAGGTGAAATGTTAGACCACATTAAGAGAAATGGTTCAGGATGTTTTGGAGAGAAACAAATGGAAAATTCCCACCTGTTAACCTATATTCAGTTACAGCCTTGAGGTGCCTGTGTGGGAGGAATATAACCGAAGGGAACTGGTTCACAGAGGAGCCATCAAAGTGTCGATCAAGAGAGAGGTTTGATTGCAAGGGGAAGTTTTAAAAGCTTTGGTCTGAGTGGTTAAGCAAGGAGGTAATGAGGGGAGATGTGGCAAAGGTGTGCTGAGCAAAAAGAAAAAATCAGGGAAAGTGAATTAGAAATGCTGACCTGTCCTCTTGAGACGTGGTGAAATAAAAAGTGTTCAAAGTAAATGCTAGAGGGGAAAAAGAAGCAGGGGAGAACTTGTTCTGCAAAAAGAAACTGAAATTTCCCCTTTTGGAATTGCTTTTGTATTCATTAGGAGAAGAGCACTTCACAAAGGGAGAGGTATTTGGCATTAGACCTCAGTCTCTGGTGGCAAAGCACTGGCAAACTCATGACATCTCTCCCAGTTCAGAAGGCTCCTGGCCAGTTGTCCCTGGCCCAGCAGCATGGGAGGGAGGGGCTGGTGGAACTGCAGGGAAGGGTACTGCATCATTTGGATGTCTTCCCTCGGTGGAGCCCACTGTGGCACCAGCAGCCTCGGTCACTGTGGTGTCCCCATGTGCCATCCTTTTTCTACTTCACTTCTTTCTCCTTCTCCTAGATTCACCTTCGTCAGGTGATGATGAAGATGACGACGATGAGTCAGAAGATACAGGTAATTTGTTTTTCTGGGATACAGAGGCCTTTTTTTCCAAAGAGATGTGGCTCCGAAGCGGAGCAGCTCATCCAGATATTCATCTGGTCAGCTATCATCTCTTTCTTTCTTCCGTGTTGAAATCGGTGGCCTTAGGAGGGCACCATGTTGATATTTATCTAAAAATTCAGAAGTAGCTGCCACAGTTATATTGCTGCTGTAATATCCTACAGCAGCAGTGGCGTCACTTTTCTTTTTGGAGACTTGATTCTGCAAATCTGACTTGATGAGCTGGAGCTAAAAACTCTTTTACATGCAAACCCACACAAACCCACTTATCTTTGGTTTTGGTTTTATTTTTGGTTTTTTTTTTTCACTACTACATTGATGTTACACCAGCTTTACACCACTAAAAACCTTGGCGTGCTTTATTTTTAGCTGTTTTGAGTCTGGTCCTTACCAGCATCTTGGCTAGAGTCAGAGCACAACATATACACTAGCTAGGGGCCAAATTTGCTGATGCTGTAAGCAGGAACGACCCCTTTGGCTTTACTGGCTGTTTCTTTTGCTCAGGTGGTAAAGGGAGCCCCAGGACAGACCTTCTCAGTGCTTTGACTCTGAGTCTCTTTCAATCCCAGTGCTTGTTTCCTTAAGTGCAAGAGCATTAATCAGGATCATTACATGCTTCAGAGGCATTAGTGTTGTGTTTTATTATGCTCTTTATATTTCTGCAAAGCGAGCTGCCTGTGCATATGTGTTTTTAATAAATAAACGTCTTGCATTTGAACTCCCAATCAGCTATGTACATTGGCAGAAGTTCAACACAACTGGAACATTTCTCCTGCCCATAGCGCTGGACACACAGGACTCTTTAAAACAGGTCTCTGTAATAAATTCACTCCCCTGTGTCGTGTAGTGTGTGGACAGTGGTGGTGAGTTACAGTGCCAGCCAACCCATCGGCAGCACTTAGTGGTTTTCTGAGAGCTTCTAATGAAGGGCCAAATCCTGTGAGGTGCCAAACGCCTTTGCAGAGGTGCTATGGGCTCCTGAAGCCTGGTAGAGGCATAGGAGGAGGGTCAGGTTTGATCAGGCTTTGTTCCTGCTGCAGAGTGGTTTCTAATGGGGACAATTAGTTGTTCTGTACCTTTTTTAATGTGGTTTGTAGTAAACTTCATCTCTTAGCAACAGATATCAGAAAACCTCAGCTGGTTTATGGTACAGAAAGACATGTTTTTCTTCACTGGAAAGGAAAAAACCGTTTTGCTGCATGTATTTATAGCTGTTCTGGGTCTTCTTGACTTCAAGGCTGTCTCCTTTTTTAGATCCAAAGGTAATGACTTAAAGGTCTCGTAAAAAGTTGGACTCTATTCTGGTTTAAAAATGGTTGACATAGCTTAATGTGCCAGTGCACACTGAAACCACGTGGTGTGTCGTGACATGGATGTGTTTTATGTTGCTTTGTTTGACATCAGACCCTCCACTGATCTTGAGTCTGAGGAGCTGTATTGTTAACCCTGGCACCACTGCAGCTGGGACATCCCACCAAGGACAGGCCCTACAGAACTGTCCTGGGCCAGCAGGCATGTGGGTGTAGCCAGTGCCATGTCCTATGGACAGCCCAAAAACCGGTGTCCTCCATCTGAGGCAAAAAGATACCCTACTAATGAGCTGTATGGGCCCCTTCTTGGCTATCAGATATAGCTGTGGTCAGTAGTTAGAGGAGTGAAGACAATAAAACAGTTTGGTGCAGGAGAAAAATATAACCAATAGTTATTCATATTTAGGGGAGGCCATCCATCCAGGACTGTCTCGCTGAGTGTTGCCATATTTCATGTCATTGAATAAAAAACTTGTCTCCTGGCCCCTTGCAATGACAAGTTAATTTTCTGTCTCAACTATGTTGTTTGAGAGCTTCTTGTCCTTATAGAGAAGAGCTTGGAGAGCTGATCCAATAGCATCATGAGTTTGAATCCAGTCTTTTTAGTTTTGTGGGTCTGACCCAACATTGTTGAACATCAGGAGCTGGAAGTACCAAATCAAGAGAAAGAGAAGAAGTCTGTCCTAGAAGAAATCGATATTTGGTTCAAAAACTTGCCCGTTTGGTGCAGCCTGGTCACAAACTGCCTTTGCAAAAAAAAAAGCCTTTCCAATACCTCTGTTCTCTACAGCTGTTTTTCCTGGCCCTGCAACAAAAACAAAACTCCCTTTTCACACATGGCTCTTCTGCCCCAGTGCTTCCCACCCTCTGTATCTGTTTGTTTGGAGCCCCCGCTGCGTAGCCCCAGCACCTTCAAAGAGCCCCTATAATCTCCAATTAAATCTGGCTGTGTACTTGGAGGCGTCAGCTGGGGAAATTACACAATTAGGGTTGATTCTGTCTGCTGCAGAATTTTGTGGCAGCTCCTAATTGCTAAGTGAGCGCTCGGCTGTATTAATTATTCCAAGTATCGCTCTCGGTTTTTTTTTTTTTAATTGGTCCTTGCAGTCAGATGGGTGGCCGATGTCTTGGACGAACAAAACGGACCATCAGGCTTAGTGTTTGATGATGGGAAAGGGCCACTGATAATCTTGGCCAGTCCCTTGTTTTTTTTTCCACACCTGCACGTGCAAAATCATTGCTTATAATGAATTTGGGAGCAGCGGGTCTAGAAATTTTTCCTGTCTTCCTTCTTTCCTCCTTTCTCACTCCTGAAACTCTGGAGTTTTACAAGCTTTGTTTGAAAAGAAGAGTTAGGAACATTTTCACTCCTTAAAAGCCGTGATGAAAGGACTCTGGGGGCACAGCAGGCCGAAAGCAGCGATGTTTTGTTGGCTGCTCCTGCGAGCGAGAACAAAGGCACCGTGCTCAATGCGTAGACAATTTCTTCCAGTTCCAGTTCGACTTGAGAGCGATGCCCTGCTTGATTGAATCTTGGCACATTAACCCAGGGGTGCCCAGCCCTGGCAAGCCCCAAATCACATGGAAGAGCACCCAAACGGAGAGAAGGAACTTGGGCAAGAAGCCGTGTCTAATTGCAGGAGGGAGGAGCAGATCCTGCCTGTGGAGAATATACCCAGCTGGAAACTCCTGGGTCTCATCTTGGGTTCTTTCTGGTGTCCAGTGGCACAATCCCCCTTGGCTTCAGTGGCAATATTTGCAGCCTGTGGGTTGATGATTCTCCTGTGAGACTCAAACTCATCTTCTGAGTGAGAAAACATGGTGAAACGTCACCGTGCAGCACATGCAGACAGTGTGGAAAGGGGAGAACCTCCCAAAAGCACAGCGCAGGGAGGAGCCCAATCCTGGAGGGTTGGCCACAAGATCCAGTTTTACATCCCTGAGCCTGGGTGAATGTCACCAACATCATAAAATGGGATTTATTATAGGCAGATACGTTAATCAAACAACAAACAGCAGATTATTCAGCTTCTTAGTGGCAGCAAAGGGGACTTTTCCATCCCTGCCTGGCCTTTCCCTGAACTCTTCCCCCATAGCCCAGTTAGCCTCCTGTAAAGTCCCCGGGAAGCTGGGATGCGTTGCCAAAAGGAAGTGTTCAGCCAGGAAATAGCCTGTGCTTCAGAAACCAAGGACCAGATGTCTCCCAACATGGTTTCTGCAGCTCCCTCCTCTTCAGCCTTCCCAGCACCACCCCAACTGGCCTCCTCTGAAGTCACCCCCCTACCGCTGCCTGGGCTTTTGCCCAGCCTTTGCTTGGCTCCTGGCACCTTCCCAACACATGCAATAACAGTGTCTTCCTTCACCATCAGGACCTGCTGTTCCTTCAGGGGAACTGCACCTATTTGTCTAACTTTTTTTTTGACTATTCCCCTTTTCTGTGCAGTGGTACCATTACTTTAAGCTCAGGTGTTGGAAGGTGGATGGCTCCATGACGTCCTGGTTTAGCCTATATTGTTATGTAACTTTTGAGGTCTCCTGGATGCGCTGTGAGTTTACAGCAAAGTTTGCGGCTGGGATTCTGCAGGAGCATGGGAATAGTAGTGATTCCTCCTTTTGCTTTTGTTTGTGCCAGCTGTACTCTTGCTCTGGTGCCATCCTGGCAAGAAAAGGGCCTTGAGCAGTTTCGTTGTTTAAAAAGTGAGGCGTACATGGCATGGATGAGCACCAGATCCTTCTGATATGTGGAGATGTCTCTGACAGACATCATGGGGCATTGTGCAAGGCAGTCTGAGGGCAGATGCAAGCCTTCAGTTCTGGATTTCCTTCCCTGGGATGGCATTGCTGAGGCACCTACCTGCTGGCTGCAGCAGTGTGAAAGCAGATGGGACACGAGAGCAATGTGCCCAGTGAGGCTGTCTCAAGCAAATGGCCAGTTGGGCTTCACAAGAAGCTATGGGGAGAGGTGACTATGTGGAGAGTGTTAGCAAGTGCTAAAACGTGGTGGGTGCATGGATTGGTTTGGCTGAGCTATACAACCTTGCCTGCAAAATCCTCAGAGTTCAACTGCATCAGGGAACCTGCATGGGGGATACTGAGTACCTAGACCAAGGTTGGGTCATCAGTGACTTACCTGGAATTGCAATGGAATGGGTCTCACAGAGCCATGTGCTTCAAGGCTAACTACATTTGGAGCACTGGAGAAAGGGAGCAGCTCAGGAGCATCTCAGATGGGTGGAACAAGAAAAAAAGCTTTGTACCCCCTTGTCACTAAGGGGGAGGGGGTTGCATAGGCTTCAGAGTAGCACTGTCATGCTGGATGATGTCTGTGAGCATCACCACCACTGTGGGACAAGCCAGCAGCAGTGCTTTCCCAACAGCTTTGGCGACCATCATGTTCTCCACGACAGTAATTGAAGGACCAGCACCTTCAGTCTATCTTGTCCAGAAGCACACAGGTCTCTGTGACCGGTGGGTTTGGGTACTTTGTGTCTGTGGGTGCTTCCTTCCCATCTGGAGGAGGTGCCAGTTACACTCCTTGGCCTCCTCTTGGCTAGTTTGCAGCCCAGATGTTGTCTGCCTCCATCTCCCTTTGGCCTCGGTAGGGAGCATGGAGCTGGGGGGCTGGATGTGGCCCCCAGCATGGTGGGGGAAGCTCCCCACATGCAGCTCTGCAGTGCTTTCTTAAGCAGAAGTGAAAGCTTGAGAGGCTTTAAAAAAAACTTTCTCTTTCTTTCTTCCCAGCATAATGAGTTTGCTGCTGCTGCCTTAATTTGGAGTTAATATGTAATGTTTGTAACCCAGCCAAGAAACATCGTTCTACTTGAGGCACATTATAAAAAATATCTCATGCTAACACTGGTGTTTTGAAACTTATCCCTGTCCAAAGGTAACATGAATCTTTAAAACTAAAATCACTTGTACTTAAAGAACATAAACATGATAAACCAGTTTGGCACTGTTTTTTTTTTTTTTTCCTTCCCTTCCCTTAAGGAGGCTACACAAGATTTGTTGTCAGTGAGAAGCAGAATTTTCCAGTGCACTCAGCTAACTCTTTTTCTCTGCTCCCTTGCTGGCCTGTCCACATTTTTTTACAGTTTCAACATCTTTCTGCTGTTGATGCTTCCTGGCTGCTGTTGTCCTGAAGGTACATCTGTGTCTTTTTACACACTGAGGCCAGATTCTTATCCTGATCTGGATAACTCTCCCTGTTGATTTAAAAGCAGCTACTCTAGATTTATAGTGGCATTACTGAGACAAGAACCTGGTCATGAACCTTTCATCACAAACCTAAAATGAAAACACCCTGTCTACGTCTATGAGAGTCACTTAGCTGGAAAGCATTTCTGTGTCATTTATCTTAGCTGCAGCAGGTAGCAATTTGACTGTCACTCTGCACATGCCAAAGCCTCCTCAAATGCATCTGCTCACCAGCTGATATCCTCCATTGCAGAAATGGGGCCAATCATCTGGGTCTTTTCTTTCTCAGGTGTCCCCTTCTGGACTCGGCCAGATAAGATGGAGAAGAAGCTGCTGGCAGTTCCCGCCGCCAACACCGTTCGCTTCCGATGCCCGGCGGGTGGAAACCCAACTCCTTCCATTTACTGGCTGAAAAACGGCAAGGAGTTTAAGGGAGAGCACAGGATTGGGGGCATCAAGGTAAGGCCTTGACCTGGATCCCTGTTTTTTATCAGGAGTTTTCTGTCAGCAGTAGAAAATGCCATTTCACAGTCGTTGATGTTGGTTGGTGTAAGAGCACCGTCCCGACTGCGTGGGGGTGGGGATGCTGCTTGAAACCAAGGTGTTAAAAAGGGCTGCTGTCCGTTGGGATTGCAAGCTAATTTCCTCTGGGTTTGTCTGCAGTGGTCTTTCAAGGAAAAATGAGGCTGGGTTTATGGTTGCATTGTGGATAGTGATGAGAAAGCAGGAGCAGAAACTTCTGTCCTCATTTCTGGAGATCAGCCCAGTGTGTTGAGACATGTGAGACCAAGCCGTAGGTTACTCCCAGCTTTCAAGGAAAGCCGACTCGGCGTCCTTTGAAAGGTGTGGGAAGGACGTCACCAAAGAGCTGGACCGTTGTGCTGGTGGATATTAACATTCTTGTGGTATAAATCACTGACCCTTGGTCAAGTGTTGGATTCCCTTGTAGCCAGACTAATAGCATCTGCTTCTTGGCAGCTTTCTTCTCCCTCCTTCCTTTCTGCCATGAGGTGTTCTGGAAAATGCTCTGGTTCATGTTTATACGTAGAGCCAAGGGATGCAAACCCCCACTGCACTCAAATGTTTTAATTAGCCAGAAGTTCCTGTGCTACTGTATATGATGAATGATGGCAAGATTTTAACAGGAAAGTCAGCTCTCCTCTGATTTTGTTGGTTTTGTTCTTACTTTGTCCCCTTGAGGTCACAGTCAGGTTCCTTTCTGGTTTTATTTGGAGAGAATAAAACTGGCAGCAGCTGCCTCTAACAAAACCAGCCTAGCAGGAAGGAGTCCTGAGCAGTGATTTTTGCCTGCACTCTGCCAGCCCTGGCATACCTCTGGGCTACTGCTAAGGAAGGAGAGAAGGTGATTTTTAGGAAGGCACCTTCATCAGTACTCTGAGCAGCTGTGTGCTGATGCCTGCCACATCTGTAGTGTTTTGACAGGGGCCTAGGCATGCGAAGTGTGCCAGGCACCAGAAACCAGAAAAAGACTCAGAAAAAGTCTTCCCTCCCCGCAGTTTTGGGCTGTTTTCCTGTTAGCTCAGACCCGTTCCTGAAAGAGCCTTTTGTGATTGCTTCAGTGAAGCCTTTGAAGCTCCCTCCTCAGTCCTGTGTCTGCTCCAGCCTGGATGAGGCTGAGGACACGCTCAGGTTTGGATCTTGTGAAAAGTTAAGAAGGGAGGGGAAGCAACTCTTGTGGGTAAACAGCCTTCTGACAGATAACATTCACAAAGCACAAGCATCTTTTACTAATTGCAGCAGTAAGGATCATCCCAAAGTGTTTTCAGGCTTGCGTGCGCCTTTCCAACGGCTTTTTACAGAACTATGTGACATCAGCTGCACTAAATTATGCTTGCAGAATAAAATCTAAAGCTGAAAGCAATTCCCCTACTCACTTCCCAGTGGTTTTAATCTGTCCTTGAGTTTAAATTGACACGTTTCATCCTCTGGAACACGGTAGTGAGTCTTTGGCATGGCTGTGCTTTGTTTCTCTAGGGGCATCTTCTAGCAACCAGCCAGTGCTTAAAAGAGCTATTGAAGGCAATGTCAGGCCAATTACAGAAAGATTGGTTTAAGCTCTCTATCTGTCTAGGTGTAGTTCTTTGTCCCTTTCTTGATATAAAGACATCTTTCTCTCTCTGTGATTTTTCTTTCCTTATTTGCTTGCTTTTACTCTTGAGCCATGGTTAGATGTAAGCAGTCTCATGTAAATCTCATCCAGTATAAATATACTGATAGATATCAGCTGAGATTTGAACCAGAAAAAGAGATTGAAAACCTGCTCAGTATCTCATGTATTTAAGATTTAAATTCCCTGTTACAACTTAACTTCATAACAGGATTAGGCAGCTTGAAAAGAATGGGCAAGATCCAGATCTGGCAGAGTTTGGTTGGCTTACTTCATCTTGAGATCTGGTCTTAACCCAGAAACCCCTGAGCTAGGAATGTTCTCATTTGTTTTCAGTGTGCGTGGAGAAGTTTAAATGTTGATTGTGAAGGGTCTATGGTCAGTAAATGAAAGGTGACCACTCTTCTACTTCTGCCTCTGCAAGTGATATTTAGATCCCATGTGATGGCCCAGTTGTATAGCCTGCAAGAGAGAAGGGTGAGTGTTGAAAACATGAAGTACAGGCTAACCTAGTTTTGTTACAGTTCATCCTTAACTGGTAAAGAAAAGAAATTCATATGACTTACCATATGAAATTTCCCAAAGAGCATTAATGGTTAAATCCTTGTTGGAATCTCTAATATCGTAAGCCTGTGTGTGTTAAATGACCCTAGAAGGGAAGATTGAGGGGGAGGGGAGATAGAGGATTATCCCTTCCCCAGACCATTGCACTGACTTGCATACCAGTCTGGCAAACATGGACTGAGGTTCCAAGCGTGTCTGCAAATGTTTGTTTCACAAGGAGCCAAGAATGACAACACCAAATAAAGCAGAGGGATTTCCAGTATCTCACTCACTTGATTAATGCCTTCACTCAGTTTTCATGTTTCTAGTGTTCTACTGAGTGCAGCCACTATCCTAACTTGGGAACATCCCTTTTTATTATGCTTTAAATCTAGACAACAGTCTCAACCTAAAGAAAACCCCTTCTTGTTTCTAGAATAGTTTCCAAACAAGTTCTGCCCCAAGAGTCTGTGTCCCCCAGGTTCTCCTCTTTGTTCTGTCCAAAGTCCCCATCACAAACCTGATGAAGAGAAGTTCTTTGACAGTGTCATAAAAGTGCCTTTGAAAGCACATCCTAAGTAAAACATCTAATTTGGACCTGATTTTGTAATACAGGTCAGACGAGGGAGTCATCCATGTATCTGGAGCTCCATTTCCTTGTAGTAGCTCCTAGGGTTCCAGGCTCAAATGTTTTGCAGTGCTGAAAACTGGATTAGAAGAAGTCTTTATACACAACTGTGAGGCAAACCGGTATGGAAATGAACCACTGAGCAGCTACAAATTTGCACTGAAACTTGCTCCACAGTCTGGTGTGTTCAGCTGTGAACCCAGGGTCAGGGCTCTGTTTGTTCTCAGAGCTCCTTTTGCCCTGTAATTGCTGCGCTGTCACAGAGGTGTGCACCAGGAGGGACGTTGCTTTACAAGAGGTGTAATGTTGGTTCTACAGTGAGCTCCATCTGTGCTGTCCCGGATGGGGAGAGGGTGCAGTCAGACCTGACCAGACATCTGCAGCAACAGAGATTCCTGTATGGACTGTTCAGCCACAGCCTCCTATTACCTACAACCTGAAATGAAGGGAGGTGCTTTATTCGGCGGTCTCTGAAAGTGGGGTGCTCAGCAGAGCTGTTCTCGTGGGTGCAGTGATCTGCAAAGCTTTGTCAAAATGACTTTTGCTTGCTTATCCTGCAACTAGTCTGTCTAGTCCTATGACTTTAAGCCTTCTTTTTGCAAAATTCTGGCGTCAGTTGCCAGTTCCTTTAAAGGAAAGCATGTGGATACAATTTATGTGTAGCAAAAGAGGTTAAATGACTTCATATTTGAGTTCACCTGCTGCAGCCAGAAACCTCCAGAAGCAATTATACCTTTGTTTTTCCCATCAACCTTTGACTTTCTGTAGTGCAGCGTTATTGTAATCTCCTGCTTCTGTGTCCTTGGAGTCACCTTCAAAAGGTTTAATCAAGTTAAAAGTTCTGCTGTGGGTGGCAGACAGCATCCAATTAATATCCAGAGATTTAGAGAGCTTTCGTATGCTATGCATCCTGAAGTCATCTTTGTTACTGTTGATGCTTTCTGTATTAATTCAAGATTTGCTTTCTGTATCCCTTGTTTCCTTTGTACTCATTAGAAGCAACCATTGTAGCTGGGCTCACAGGGCAGCAGCAGGTCAGGGTGGAGGCATGGGCTGCGCTTTCCCTTATGCAACTGAACAACCAACAGCTCTGGGCATGAGCCACATCCAGAAAATCAACTAGTACAGAACTTGGTGCCAGAAGAGAAGGGCTGACCATACACCCTAGGGACCAGACTTGAGGCTGGGCATGTTTTCTCCTGTTTTTTACAGGCAATTTGGAGGAATAACTCAGTTGTAGACACTCATTTCTGTTCAGACAGGTGCCATGACCTGTTGCCTCCATAGCACATATCTTTAAAATATGTTATAGATGGGTCAAGAAGTATGATTTTTATTGTTCATACTCATCTTACGGGTTATATGTAGCAGTTGGTAAAGATCTGCAGATGGGAGTACAATATTTTGAGCTGACAGTGTCTGGACCAGAGTGGTCTGGCAGAGGGGACCAGTGGATCGGTTATCTTAGCTGATGCCTTCTGAAGTCATTCTAGTGAGAGGTGCCACATTCAACTGTCAGCTGGTTTCATTGTTGTTGTGACTGTGGAAGCATCTACAAGTCCTCCTGGCAGTCTCAGCATGTTACATTGTGTTGCGCTGCTCCTGCATTGATCTTAATTCCTTTTCACATTAAGCTTTTAATGACCCTTGAAATGGGTCCTTGTGATGTTCAGGCCTACTCTGGGATCCATTCATGCTGGCCAAGTGTGTAGAAGCTCACTGATTATTCACTGAAAGACGTGGTGATGGTGGTACTTGACCACGAGCTTGATAGCTTGATTTCTTCTTCCAGCTGCGGCACCAGCAGTGGAGTTTGGTGATGGAGAGTGTCGTGCCGTCGGACCGAGGAAATTACACCTGCGTGGTGGAGAACAAGTACGGCAACATTAGGCACACGTACCAGCTTGATGTGTTAGGTGAGATTTTACTCTTCTCCCTCAACAGCTGATCTGTGGTGATGTTGAACAGGCACATGATGGGATATGGGAAGCAGAAGCTTGGTTTCCTTCCCAGAGTGCGGGATCATGTGTTTTCTAAGTCCAAAAGCAAGCTTCCTTTTGGCCAAAGGTTCAGCCTCAGATCTGTGATCAATAAATTACTTAGCTGGTCTACAGAGGGGCCAGAGAAGGAACAGCAGGGCTGACATGCCTCCTGTTTGTCTTGAGAAGCACTGGTTAGAGCAGTGGCCAGGACGCCTGGAAGGGATAATTCCAGTGTGTACCCTTTCTACTGAAAAGACAAGAGTTCAGAGAAGAATCCATGCTGGAAGAAGGACAAGTAAATTTGGATTTTCCTGTTCTTCTGCTTCTCAGAACGGTCACCCCACCGACCAATCCTGCAAGCAGGGCTCCCTGCCAACCAGACCGTGGTGGTAGGGAGCAATGTAGAGTTCCACTGCAAGGTCTACAGTGATGCCCAGCCTCACATACAGTGGCTGAAACACGTGGAAGTCAACGGCAGCAAGTATGGACCTGATGGGACGCCCTATGTCACTGTGCTGAAGGTTGGTACATGCTCATTCTTACCCTCAGGGCAGGCCTTCCTCTGCCTTGGTCTCAGTGTTACACATACAGCAGCTGTATTGTGGGGATGCTCCTCAAAGAAACCCGCTGCCATACTCATGGCAAGAGAGATCAGCACTGAGTAAAGGTGCTCACCATCAATGGAAGCCGTAAACTTTGTTTAAATGTTTATAAATAAGCCCTAGACTAGCAGTGCAATGCAAACCAGAAAATCCCAACATAATGTGTTCAATGCCACAGTTCCTTGGAGGGTAATGATGATTTAAATAAGATATTTGGGAGATTAAAATTTCAATTTCTTGTAACTGTTTTGTGTCTATAAGGAAAAAAGTCATGAGGATAAGCCAAGGACTGCTGTTGGGATTATTCTTTCCTTTAAGCCCATGCAATAGAATACTCTGCTTTTTGGAGGGGGTACAGCAAAAATGTCCTAAAGTCAATGTTCCAGACTCTTCCATTTGCCAGAGATAACAGAACTACTGTAGTGGCACAGATAAGCAAAGTAGTTGTAAGAGCTGAGGCAACTGCGAGAAATGCAATATAGTAAGAGAAGCTGTCAGATTGCATTTGACCTAAAATTGTAAAAATAACCTTTTTTTGCAGCTTAATCGGGTATTTTTGGGGCTTATTAAAATCAAAGGCTCCCAACTAAAACACGTTCTTTCCTTTTCCAAGTAAACACAGTGCAGCCTGCACGTGCTAGACAAAGCTGGACTACCAGCACATGAGAGCCAAGATAGCCTTGTTCCAGCTGCTGACATTTGTGAACATTGCTGTTATCCATGCTCAGGAAAATGAATTTTTTTTTTATTGAGTAACAACTTACTTAGTAAGACTTTGCTAAAATACTTTCTTGAAAGAGAACTTACAGCCAGGACAAAGCCAGTGGGTCTCTTTTCCCCTAAGCCTATGTAAATACAAAAAGTAGTGAACAGAGAGTGAAAAGCACACTGGACTTTTAAAATCACCCTTTTTTTCCCTTTTAATAATTAAAGGCTTCCTGTATTGGTGTTTATTAAACTATATTAGGTCAAATGGAGATTTTCTGGCTCTGCAGTTATAACTGAAAGCGGATTTTGTCCCCGCAGTTTGAAGCTGAGGTTGTCCCGTGCGGGGACATCCTGTTGCACACACCCTTCATCTGTTGGTATGAATGTTTTAAAAAACCCCACTTAACAGACAGCATCTACAAAACTGTAACTCAGCCAGATACATGATAATAAAAGCCAGAGACCCTGGAAATAATTACACAGATTGAAATAACAGATTGGTTGGAAGAAATGGTTGGAGGCAGTTGTTGGGGATTGGCAACACGCGCTTCTCGCGAGCTGATAAAACTTTTCATTTTCTTGCCGTCTCTCCAAATGTGTTTGAATTATGCATATTTGAATTTCCCCCTGGTTTCACAGCCCAGTACCAAGCTCTGAATAGCTGGCTGTGTCACATGCCATCTAGTATAGTCTTGGAGCTCCGTGTGTGGTCCCCGTGGGATAAAATGCTACCTTTTGGAAGTTTGCAGAGCCGCTGCGAACAGTGCCTTGTGTCACAAGCACAAGCTCCCATTTTGCTGTGGCAAAGAACATATAAATAGTCCGTATAAATAGTGTTTTAAAATTAAGTTGGAGCGGCACCGGGGTGGTTAGGTAATTAGAATTGCCAAATACCTTCTCTTCTGTGGACAGCAAAGGCTCTGCATTCCTCGAAGGGGAGCACAGGCAGGCGTTTGAAAGCACAAGTTTTGTTTGGTTTTATTTTTTTGCTGAATAGGACCAGCACACGTCTATTTACTACTTCTGGTTAATCAGGAATGCTTTGAATTGTATTAATGCCGGCATCAGCGCTGGGGCATGGAGCATTTCCATTTTGGGATGCATCTTTTGTGCACCAGAACTGGGCCTCCGTGGAGCTGTGTCAAGCCCAGCTGTGCAGGGATTTTTTTTTCTTTTTTATTTTTTTTTTAAGTGCATGTGCACTTGTTTTTTAAAAACAAAGATCTGATAAAATGATCTCACTGTCATCTTGGGGCCAGTCCGTTGGCTTTATGGAGTCATTCTTCTCATGCCATGCAGTGCTGTTGCTTTGAGCCAGCACCCTGGCCCTTCCCTGCCCACAGCTGCTCTAGAAAGGCTCTATCCTGCCCAGTGCTTTGGTGCCTGCAGGGAGATAGGGCTTTTTATCAGCCTGCCCTTTCTTCCTGCTTACATGAGATTTTGTGGAGTGTAGGAGCTGTTACGGGGCAGTTCATGTACAGGGAGTAGCCCCGTGTACATCAGAGCAAGGGTGGCGGCGAGGTGCCCAGCACATGAATTTCCCCTCTCACATCTAGAATGTGGGGGGCAAAACCCACCCCAGTCCAGATGGATAAATTGAATGCTGTACTTTCAACTCATTTTTAAGGAGCCTGACAAAACCCAGCCATCACCTGCATAAGTTCCTGAAAGCCTGGGCTAATTTGTGATCAAAGGAAACCCCTTTTTCTTTGCAGAAGAGCACTAAATGCATTCCAGTTACGGAGGGAGGGCTGGCAACGCTGTGCCCAAGCTTTGTCAAAGGCTAAATTGTATGTTCTGCATTGAACGTGCCCAGTTTAATGATAAACAAGGCAGCAACAGCAGGCAGGCACGTTTCCCACTCATAAGGACAAAGTTGCCAGCATGTAAGCCCTAGAGACTAGATCAGGTTGAAACCGGTGGTCTTTGTCTGATGACATAGACACTGGGGCTCCTCTCTGATGCCACCTCAGGGTTCAGTTCCTAATAATCTATCAGATCTAGTAGTCCTTTTGATTTTAATGGGCTGCAAGTCATATTGGCAAGATCTGGTCTTGAAATCAAAGGCACCAAGACTAGACTGGAAAGCATAAGACCAAAAATGAGAAGAGTAATTGGTTTATTTTCATTTCCAGAACTGAAGCTGGTATTTTTTTCTAGACTTTCCCTAGGCTACTTCTGAGGCTACCCAAAACAGTTATGCATTTTCAAGCAAAATAAAAACAACTGTTTGGGGAACAAACTGATGTGCTGTTGTGGCAGCATGGAAGAAGAGAAATAAAAACCTTGCCTAAGAGTCTGAAGTTTGTTTGATTTATGCGCACCACTTTATTTAGTAAAGAAGAGGCTCCTATAAGCAGTGGAAAAAATTACAGCTAATTTCTGAAAGGCAAAGTCAGCAGTGAGTTTCAGACCGCCACTGCTTATATTTTGTTTCCAAATTCTATTTTGGAATCTGATAATTGAAACAGTATTTGCTGAGCTGAGTTGCAAACACAAGTCTCTGCTTAAGCCCTTTCTCTGGTGCTCCTGTCTGCAGAGTTACTAAGAAACCGTAGGGGCTTCGACTGCTGCGAGATGGAGAAGTGGGAAACGGGGGCTGCTTTAAAAAACAGATCATGTATGTGAAGGGGAGTTCACTCGGACGCGGTTTGGGGCCCAAATGCAACTTCTTTTCGTGGCCCAGGTCCTGGGTTCGGTCTCTCACCACAGGGTGAGCCGGGGATGTTGCCACAGCCAAAAAGAAATGAGCCATGAACGGTCAATCCTAGCTAATGTAGGTGCGATGGAGGTATTGCTTGGTTTACTGAAGTTCAGGTTTCTGTCTATTCCTGCAGTCTTGGATCAGTAAAAACGCTGAAGCCGATGCTAACCTAAATCTGTTCAATGTGACAGAACAAGATGAAGGAGAATATCTGTGTAGAGCCAACAATTTCGTAGGCATAGCCGAAAAACCATTTTGGCTCCACATTCGCAAACCAAAACCAGGTAAACCACAGACTCTGTCCCAAGGCCCTGGCAACTGCAAGAATGAGCTATAACATTTTTAAGAAGCTAGTGATTAAAATTACTATTCATTTTGTATTATAACCTGTCAACTGATGCTGAATGGCTTTATCCTATTTTCTTGCTAATTTTTTTTTTTTTACAAGAATGTAACGCCTATACAGCAATTGCCATGGAAAAATTCCCACAATAAAATGACTGTCAAATTTTGCTATCAACTCTTCATGCTTTTATTCCTTTCCCTTCCTTCCAATTGAGTGCTGATAACAGAATTGCATGTTAATCACCTGTGACGTTCAAAGCTCTGGAAAACTGAGCTGTTTCAAGATTTTCACCCATGAAAACGATATAATCAGCTCTGTCCCTTGGAGAAGTAATGGAGAAATAAATATCAACATTGGCTCCTGCAAGCAAACATGTTAAACGGAGAGCAGCAGCAGTCCCGTGGGCTCTGGGGTTTGACTCCAGCCTGGAGAGTTTGGCTGCTGTGTTGCTCAGTGCCACTGCAGGAAAGTTCCTTATAGGCACCTTCTTGTTGTCGGCCTTTGAGATGCCCACACTGAAAAAATTCTAAAAGTCTGTATTTTTCGACCAACTAATGAATCAAAATGTTTGTACGTTCCTCTGATCAGCACTTGAGTTTTTCCCCAGTACATCTCCCCTCCTTTCTCCTTTCTGTCATTCCTCTCCTCTTTTACCATCTTCCTTCTTTCCCCCTCCCCTGTACTCGCCCTACTAACCCAAAGTCAGTAATATTGTGGGGGCAATTTTTCATTTGGATGCTTTTGCTTGCATGCTTCTTTAGTGGGACAGAGTAAGAACCTGGTGAAGGGACCTTTTTTTTGCTTTTGACTACAGGTTGCAGAGGGGAATGAATAAATAAATGTGGAAGATGGGCCACTGGAAAATAAACAAAACAAAACAAAAAAAAACAACCCACCTTAATCTGCTTTTGAAATTTGGCTGTGGTGTCCTCACACTTGCTGGGAATGTGGCTTATTCTCTGTTTTCCCTCTTTCTATACGTGTGTGTTTTTTTTCCCCATAGACAGCAGGTGTTAACACAACGGATAAGGAGCTAGAGATTCTGTACTTGCGAAATGTTACTTTTGAGGATGCTGGGGAATATACTTGTCTCGCAGGGAATTCTATTGGGTTCTCACATCACTCTGCTTGGCTGACGGTGCTACCAGGTATTTCCTTCTGTGCTGGCCTC